TAGGGGTTGGTGGTGGGAGAAAGAGGAGAGAAAAGAGAAGAGAGAGAGTGAGAGAGAAGGAAAGAGAGAAAAAAAAGAGAGCGGGAGAGAGAGAGAGACAGAGAGAAGGAGAAACAAGGAGAGAGGAGAGAGAAGAGGGAAAAAACGAATGGAGAGAGAAAGAGAAAAAGAGAGAGAGAGAGAGAGAGAAAAAAAGATGAGAAGAGAGAGAGAGAGAGAGAGAGAAAGTAGGAAGAGAAAGAGAGCGACTCGAACAAACATAAAACACCATATCTATCTATAGATTCTAGTCTCTATCTCTCCTATATCTATATACTAATATCTCTCTCACTGTATTCTCTTTTCTCTAAGAAAGGAAGTTTAGTGTCTGTTTTCTGGTATCCATGTCTGTGTCACTGTGTTTCAGGGTTCACAGGGATGCTGTCTGTAGTCTTCTAATCTGCCTGAGGGGAGGTAGCACCACTACACAGCATCACTGCAGCACAGCCATTACCATGAGTCCTTCCTCCCCAATGAAGGTGTCACCAACCTCCTCTGCACTGTAGGGAATGAACACTAACACACAGGCACACAAGCACACTAACACACACAACACACACACACACTGCTCATTCTTACTCATGACACCATAAAGTCTAAATATAATTGCCACTGGTCTGATGACACCGTATTTGAGATAATTAGGTTGATATGCCTTGAAGTCAATATAATACGATACAGTTACTTTGGATACACTTTGCTGTGATAGGGGTTTTCTCAACCCACTGTGATTGTATTCACCGGGACACTGGGACACTCAGCTGCTGACCGCAAAGTAAAGGATGTCTAGTCAGCAGAATTATTGGGAAACCTGCTCAATTTGATGCCACCTTTTTCAATCATTGTTTTGGGGCAAATAAACCAGCGCCAACAAAGACGATCGTCTAGTTTCCCCGTTAACCCTCCAGTCTCTCTCCATTCTCCAACTGAGTGGTAATTATGGTGTACACGCGGAGGTGATGTCCCTCAACTTTAATTCCAAATATTCACAGTTGAGTTTTAAAAAAAAGTCTGAGATCAGCGGAGGAACAAACCCAAAACTCTCCTACGCATCAGAACAGTGTGGTAAGACACTGTACCTATCTACGCTCCAATGGTTGTGCAGCAAAGTGTTGCAGTGCTGCTGTAGTGTAGGCTACACCACTGAGATGTAGTGGGATGTAGAGGCACTAGAGAGATACAAAAAAAAAAAAAAAAGTGTTGGTTCGCTAAAGGACGGAATAGTCATTGCGAACGCAGACAGACACCGGGTAGCTACGACGGGGAACGGGCGGGGGGGGACTTCACAGGCGTACTGATAGAGGCGATACACTGGGCTACAGCATCGTATGTTGATAACACATCTATTAATAAGAAATAGGGAGGAGATATGGTGAGAGAAGTGTTTCAGGATGCGGAGGGGTTTTTCAATCATGTGTGAGTTCATTGGTGAGCGGCAGAAGAGGGGGAGGACAATAGAATGCGAGGTCCGTGCAGTAGACTATCGGCCAGCCAGCCAGCCAGCCAGGCTAGAATAGATTTCTCAAGAAGAAAGCACTCTTTCCAGTTGCGGTAGCCTACAGACTGTCAACCTTGCAGGATTTGCTTTCCAGTACACATGGAATACTGTGCTTATCAATAACGCATCCACAACGATACAGGTAGAGATTAATTTATTATGACATTCAACGAAAATGTATATTTTCTCTCCTCAACTCTGAGTGCAATGGAATCCTCCTTGCTTTAATTTACTGTAATGCAGTTTCTGTTATTTGGGGGGAATCTCTAAAAGGATTCAAACAAAAGGCTTTTGAACAATGGTATGAATGCAAATATTTTATTTCATATTTATTAGCCAGTTTTCATGTATGATTTCCATAGATTGTATAGCTTAGTAGCCCACTAACCTACTGTTTGGCAATGGGAGGGCAGCTGTAATGACATAATGCCAAGCTACAGTGATTTAATTTACCATGCATCCCCCACAATGCAAGAGTTTTGATTGGAAGTACTGTAGCCTACAGTCATAATGTGTGTTACGATGACATGGAATAATAATTCACTACAGAAATACAATGGCAGCAAATGGCATCACTAACAATCTATACAACCCAGTGACAATGCTGGTCCTAATAATACAACAATAAAAAATAAAATAATAATAATAATAATAATAATAACTAGATGGTCATTTTCGATGAAGAAACATTGTGTGACTTGCTTCAGCTCTTTGAAAGTATTTTTGTGGCGGTGGATCGGATAGCCTGAACAATGTTGGTTTGGTGTCTCTAGCTTGAACGGTTCATGGGTTACTGTTGGTGGGTTATTTTATGCTAATTTCTGTAAATGTATATAGTTATAGTTGATAAAAGTTTAAAGAAATTGAAGTTAGTATAGCCTGAACATGTGAAAGTTGTTTTGGTGAATCTAGCTTGAACAGTTCAAGAGTTACTGTTGGTGAGTTATTTTTTGCAGATTTATTCAAATGTGTATAGTTATAGTCAATAAAGATTCAAAAGAATTTTAGACTGAATGTTTTAAAGTTGGTCTTGTAGCTTAATTGACCAAAGGAGCAGGACCATTTCGAATTGCTATGTCTGTATTTCTATGGTTCTCATTTAAACCCATGTTTAATTTATGCAAATAGTTTTTGTCTAACTTGGTCAGAATTTCCGTTTGTAAAGAGTTTGGGGGAAAATTGTTACTACGGTTACTAAAACAGCTGTATAGTTAGATTGGTAGCAGATATTTTTTGTTCCGATTCCAGATTTGAATAGCAGAAAAATAGAGGAAGTACGCACTAACTTTAACTTGTTGGGAAAGGGGTCCAAATTTCAGTTTTTTATTTTAAAAAAGTTCGAGGAAATGTCATTGTCGCAGTTAGTAAAACAGCTGTATCGTTTGATCGGTATGAGATATATTTGTTCCAATTTCAGATTTGAATAGCAGAGAAGTAGAGGAAGATTTTAAACGGTCTACATTTTTTGTCTAACTTGTTGGGAATGTTGGAAAAGGTATCTGATTTGTGTTAAAAAGTTGCATTGTTGCGTTCACTGTGAATGGAATGTTGGAAGTCATGATGTCACAATGGAAGCTTTACAATGTTGAAGAAATCCCATGAAAGAGGATGAAGTTGAAAAAGTATAATACAAATGTAACAGTATAAAAAAAAGTATAGTGTATGCAAAGCACACTATTCCAGACCAGTCCACACGTTTTAAAGTTTGAACGGTATTTCTAGCTTAAACGGCGTAAGAGGAGTAACGTTGTAAAGAATAGTAATAACTATAAGTCTGAAATAAGTGGTCCAATATTGAAAGTGTTGCTGCTGCAACAAGCCACACTAATAAAACCGTTTGTCTTTGTAACTGCTAAGGCTAAACAATTAGTTTTTGATATTAAACGATTGTCTTTACGCACGCAATTCGAGCCATTAACGCATTCCATTGAATTCACGTTACAGCTTGTGTGGGCTGATGATGTCACGACTTGCCATAAAGCAATACAGTAAATGTATAAAACTGACTTTCCACCTTTTATACTCTTCTGATATCCTTGGATGTTTCTGTGTGTTTTCAGGCATGGGTGAAGGGATGCGCTGCGGCTGCGCTATGTCGAACCTCTTGATCTTTGTCTTTTTAGTGAGCATGACCTGCCGTTTGAGGTAAGCCACTAACATTCACAACCTATCTTTTCATGTTATGGATATTGGTATATAGAGACATTTTACTTTATTTTATTATGACATTAAAGTTATATTGATCTATTTCAATCGGGTAGCCAATTCTACCCATTTCTCTCTAACTGTTCGCTACTCTACTGTTCCCCTGTAGCCTGTTCCCCCTGCAGCCTTGTACCCAGTCAACTATTCTGTCACTATACTGTCCTGTTCCCCCCCTGCAGCCTTTCCCAGACCCCTGCAGGAACCCCTGCAGAACCGCTAAAAGAGGCAGAGCTAAATGACAACATCACCATCTTTACCCGGATACTGGACAGACTGCTGGACGGCTATGACAACAGACTGCGTCCTGGACTGGGAGGTATGGACCTATCCAGACCTCGCATGTCTCCCAAACGGCACCCTATTCGGGGGCATAAACGGGCCCATATCTGGTCAAAAGTAGTGCACTATATAGGGAAAAGGGTGGGGGGGGGGGGGGGGGCATACATACAGTGTGGACATGTAAACTGACTCTTTCTCCATAGTGTTTCCTCGCCTTGTTAAGTTAAGAATCATAATTGTTTTATGACATAATGAAGTAGAATTCTTTCAACAGAGGAGGTTAATAAAGGACATATCTTCCCTCCAGTACAACCTCTGTATCCATGTATTCTTAGTAAGTGATCATAGAGAAGAGAGAATGGCACTATGTCAGTCTTCTAGTTGTCTATTATAGAGGGGGATGTGCCTGTATTCATAGACCATGGTAAACAGAGGTCTCTGACAAAGACATTTACATTTTAGTCATTTTGCAGACGCTCTTATCCAGAGCGACTTACAGTTAGTGCATACATTATAAAAATAAAAAAAAATCATACCCCCCATGGAATCGAACCCTCAACCCTGGCGTGCAAACACCAGCTCTACCAACTGAGCTACATCCCTGCCGGCCATTCCCTCCCCTAGACGACGCTGGGCCAATTGTGCGCCGCCCCATGGGTCTCCCGGTGGCGGCAGGCTACGACAGAGCCTGGATTCGAACCAGCCTTAGACCACTGCGCCACTCGGGAGTACATGATCATTGTAATGGCTAGGAGAGCTAATGGGTGACTGACCTTGTGAGAGAGAGAGAGAGAGAGAGAGAGAGAGAGAGAGAGAGAGAGAGAGAGAGAGAGAGAGAGGAGAGAGAGAGATAGAGAGAGAGAGAGCGAGAGCTAAGAGAAAGACGAGAGAAGAGGATCTCTAGCCCTCTCGAGAGCAGCCGAGGCTATAGCAGATAGCTAGCGTTACTAGTTCGATTCTCCATGAGCATGAGGAAGAGATGAAGGAGGAGGAGAAGAGTGATGGTGCACGTGATGTGAGTGAGTGAGTGAGTGAGTGAGTGAGTGAGAACTCCTTTCAGAAATACCAGGGTCTTTGTTCTCAAAGGACAGAGGCCAACTTTTCAATTCCTCTTACAGAAAATAAATATAATGATTGCGAATACACTGCTTGTGTGAAATAAAAAAAATATATTTTAAAGGTTCAATGCAGAATTCAGTCAATCCATGATGTTTGAATAGAAAAAGAGGACGTTTTTTTTGCAGTGAAATAAAGGAAAATGTTGACATCTTGAACTGCCTGCCTCTCTGAGCAATTCCCACCCTCTCTGGATGGGATTTATTTTCTACAGAGAAGGTGACAGAGATCAAGACCAACATATTTGTGACCAGCTTCGGTCCCGTTTCTGATACTGAAATGGTAAGGACTTCTTCTCGATTCATTCTGCTCTTAATAGAAACTGAAACAGCTTCCATCTTCCGGTGCTACTTATGTATAATTGAACATATTTTGTAGATTACATATTTTTTACATTAAAATTTAGCAAAATATTTACTCATTTCATCTATTTGTAAAATTACGATTTGATTTGTCTGTATTAATGTCTTGGGGCCGTTTTCCCAGACACAGACTAAGCCTTGACTAAGAACTCAATGCATTTTAGGATTAGGCTTTAATCTGTGTCTGGGGAAACTGCCCCGTAATGTCACGATGTACATCCAACGACGCCCTGGTAGTTTTCATATTGCCAACTGAACCCCTGTCTTGTCCTGTCTGCCCTCTTTGACCTCTGACCTCCAGGAGTACACCATAGACGTGTTCTTCAGGCAGAGCTGGAAGGATGAGCGTCTACGTTTCCAGGGTCCCATGGAGATGCTACCTCTGAACAACCTCCTGACGTCTAACATCTGGACCCCAGACACCTTCTTCCTCAACGGGAAGAAATCTATCGCCCACAACATGACCACACCCAACAAACTGCTACGACTGAAAGATGACGGGACACTGCTCTACACCATGAGGTCAGTGAGACCCTCAGCAGGGTTTTTTTTTTTTATGCCACTGTAGATTTCAGGTCAACGCTCCCACTAAACACTGGTGCTATGAGTGCACAGGGTTTTTGCCTTATTTAATTCGAACACGTGTATCAACAATCATAAGATAACTTTTCATTTCAACTCTCATGAACGTAGATGTATGCTCATTCAAAGCTAGATCTAAATTTGAGACCCTGCTCACCATAAACAAACAATAATGCAAAATAATCAACAGTAAACATGAGATTCCTGGTCAGTCGACGCTAGAAGGTCATGTAACGTTGTCATAGAGATGACTTTGAATCATTCCACTGTAGAACTAAATGCCATAGGAGTTCTACAGTGTCTATTGTATCTCTTGCTGGTTTGTTATATGCAGTTTGTTAACTTGTTATATAGCTAGTTACAGTAAATATACAGTATAGCTATACTCTCTCTCTACATCATTATTCAGTTATAATAGAGTGATACTGTCATTAATAGTAGAGACTCAAACATCAAACAGTACGTATAGCAGCCCCTGGAGATCTGACTGGTAGACCCCTGCTGTAGGAATACATCCTATAATACTCCCACATACACACACACACACACACACACACACACACACACACACGCACACACACACACACACACACACGCGCGCACATCGAGGCTCCATTCAGCTCTGAGGGTTACTCTGTCCCATTCCTCTGCATGTGGGTCAGATGAACTGGAAAGTGGAGAGTCAGAAGTCTGTGTTTGTCTTGACCCGTTGCTCTGCGGTAGTGGAGGAAGACAGGCCAGGCAAAAGGACTGTGCCCCAAATGGCACCCTATTCCCTACAAAAGTGCACTATCACTACTTTTGACCAGAGCCCGACTATAGGGAATAGGGTGCGATTTGGGAAGCTGCCAGGGTCTCCCTCCTCCTGCCCTCCTCTCTCTCTCTCTCTCGCTCTGTCTGTGTCTCTCTCTCTCTCTCTCTCTCTCTCTCTGTCCTATGTCTCTATCTCTCTCTCGTCTCTCTGTTATCTCTGTCTCTCCTTCTCTCTCTATCTCTCTCTCTCTTTCTATGATCTCTCTCTCTCGTTCTCTCTCTCTCTCTCCTCTCTGTCGGTATGTACTGTCTGTCTGTCTGTCTGTCTGTCTGTCTGTCTGTCTGTCTGTATGTCTGGTCTGTCTGCTCGCTTCTCTCTCTCTCTCTCTCTATATATCTCTATCTCTTCCTGTATATCATCTCTCTCTCTCTCTCTACTCTCTCTCTGTCTCTCTCTCTCTCCCTCTCTGTCTCTCTCTCTCTCCCTCTCTCTTCGTGTCTCTCTCTCTTCTCTCTATGTCCTCTCTCTCTCTCGATCTTTCTCTCCTCTCTCTCTCTCTCTCTCTCTCTCTGCTCTCCTGTGGTCACTCCCCCCCCATTCTCTCTCTCTCTTTCTCCCCCCCCCCCTCTCTCAATTCATTTCAATTTAAGGGCTTTATTGGCATGGGAAACGTGTGTTAACATTGCCAAAGCAAGTGAAATAGATAATAAATAAAAGTGAACATAAACATATAAATATTAAACAGTAAACATTAAACTCAGAAGTTCCAAAAAGAATAATGACATTTCAAATGTCATATATGTCTATATACAGTGTTTGTAACAATGGGCAAAAGTTAAAGTACAAAGGGAAAATAAATCAAACATAAATATGGGTTGTATTTACAATGGTGTTTGTTCTTCAATGGTTGCCCTTTTCTTGTGGCAACAGGTCACAAATCTTGCCGCTGTTGTTGCCTTGGCTACTGGATCTTTTTTGGAACACCATTATTTATGTCTTACTGAGATTCACTGTCAGGGCCCCGGTCAACTCCATCTCTCCCCCCTCGCTCTCTCTCTCTACAACTCCATCTCCTCCCCCTTGCTCTCTATCTCTACAACCTCCATCTCTTCCCCCCCTCGCTCTCTCTCTCTACAACTCCATCTCTCCCCCCTCCGCTCCTCTCCTTACAAACTCCATCTATCACCCCTCGCTCTCTCTTCTACAACTCAATATCTCCCCCTCTGCTCTCTTCTCTACAACTCATTCTCTCCCCCCTCGCTCTCTCTCTCTACAACTCCATCTCTCCCCCCTCGCTCTCTCTCTCTACAACTCCATCTCTCCCCCCTCGCTCTCTCTCTCTACAACTCCATCTCTCCCCCCTCGCTCTCTCTCAAACTCATCTCTCCCCCCTCGCTCTCTCTCTCTCCCTCTCTACCACTTTATCTCCCCCCCCCCCCCCCCTCTCTCTCTCTCTCGCTCTCTTCTCTTATCTTGGAGTGTCTGCCCTCATTAACCACTGTACTACAACGGCACAACGGCACAGAGACATAGAAAAATAAAAATCAACTGCTCCTACTACAACCCTGCTGATGTTTTTTTTTTTGGGGGGGGGTAGATCAGCTTTAATATTTCAGATAGATTGTAACTTCCATCAATGTAATTTTCTCGCAAATATATATATACAGTGGGGAGAACAAGTATTTGATACACTGCCGATTTTGCAGGTTTTCCTACTTACAAAGCATGTAGAGGTCTGTCATTTTTTTATCATAGGTACACTTAAACTGTGAGAGATGGAATCTAAAACAAAAATCCAGAAAATCACATTGTATGATTTTTAAGTAATTAATTTGCATTTTATTGCATGACATAAGTATTTGATACATCAGAAAAGCAGAACTTAATATTTGGTACAGAAACCTTTGTTTGCAATTACAGAGATCATACATTTCCTGTAGGTCTTGACCAGGTTTGCACACACTGCAGCAGGGATTTTGGCCCACTCCTCCATACAGACCTTCTCCAGATCCTTCAGGTTTCGGGGCTGTCGCTGGGCAATACAGACTTTCAGCTCCCTCCAAAGATTGAAGTGTACCTATGATAAAAATTACAGACCTCTACATGCTTTGTAAGTAGGAAAACCTGCAAAATCGGCAGTGTATCAAATACTTGTTCTCCCCACTGTACATACATACAGTGAGGGAAAAAAGTATTTGATCCCCTGCTGATTTGTACGTTTGCCCACTGACAAAGAAATGATCAGTCTATAATTGTAATGGTAGGTTTATTTGAACAGTGAGAGACAGAATAACAACAAAAAAATCCAGAAAAACGCATGTCAACAATGTTATAAATTGATTTGCATTTTAATGATGGAAATAAGTATTTGACCCCCTCTCAATCAGAAAGATTTCTGGCTCCCAGGTGTCTTTTATACAGGTAACGAGCTGAGATTAGGAGCACACTCTTAAAGGGAGTGCTCCTAATCTCAGCTTGTTACCTGTATAAAAGACACCTGTCCACAGAAGCAATCAATCAATCAGATTACAAACTCTCCACCATGGCCAAGACCAAAGAGCTCTCCAAGGATGTCAGGGACAAGATTGTAGACCTACACAAGGCTGGAATGGGCTACAAGACCATCGCCAAGCAGCTTGGTGAGAAGGTGACAACAGTTGGTGCGATTATTCACAAATGCAAGAAACACAAAAGAACTGTCAGTCTCCCTCGGCCTGGGGCTCCCATGCAATATCTCACCTCGTGGAGTTGCAATGATCATGAGAATGGTGAGGAATCAGCCCAGAACTACACGAGAGGATATTGTCAATGATCTCAAGGCAGCTGGGACCATAGTCACCAAGAAAACAATTGGTAACACACTATGCTGTGAAGGACTGAAATCCTGCAGCGCCTGCAAGGTCCCCCTGCTCAAGAAAGCACATATACATGCCCGTCTGAAGTTTGCCAATGAACATCTGAATGATTCAGAGGAGAACTGGGTGAAAGTGTTGTGGTCAGATGAGACCAGAATGGAGCTCTTTGGCATCAACTCAACTCGCCGTGTTTGGAGGAGGAGGAATGCTGCCTATGACCCCAAGAACACCATCCCCACCGTCAAACATGGAGGTGGAAACATTATGCTTTGGGGGTGTTTTTCTGCTAAGGGGACAGGACAACTTCACCGCATCAAAGGGACGATGGACGGGGCCATGTACCGTCAAATCTTGGGTGAGAACCTTCTTCCCTCAGCCAGGGCATTGAAAATGGGTTGTGGATGGGTATTCCAGCATGACAATGACCCAAAACACACGGCCAAGGCAACAAAGGAGTGGCTCAAGAAGAAGCACATTAAGGTCCTGGAGTGGCCTAGCCAGTCTCCAGACCTTAATCCCATAGAAAATATGTGGAGGGAGCTGAAGGTTCGAGTTGCCAAACGTCAGCCTCAAAACCTTAATGACTTGGAGAAGATCTGCAAAGAGGAGTGGGACAAAATCCCTCCTGAGATGTGTGCAAACCTGGTGGCCAACTACAAGAAACGTCTGACCTCTGTGATTGCCAACAAGGGTTTTGCCACCAAATACCAAGTCATGTTTTGCAGAGGGGTCAAATACTTATTTCCCTCATTAAAATGCAAATCAATTTATAACATTTTTGAAATGCGTTTTTCTGGATTTTTTTGTTGTTATTCTGTCTCTCACTGTTCAAATACACCTACCATTAAAATTATAGACTGATCATTTCTTTGTCAGTGGGCAAACATACAAAATCAGCAGGGGATCAAATACTTTTTTCCCTCACTGTACATATATACATATACATACACACATACACACATACATATATATATATATATAGATATATATATATATAGATATATATATATATATATATATATATATATATATATACATCCATACACACACACACCCACATATCCTTTTTTAAATTATATTTCCCTTCATTACTTTCCAACCCCACCACCCCTTCCCCAATTGGAGTAAACTAGTGAACAACAACGCTTAGGCCTCTACTTCCAGTTTATACATACTATATACATTTTATGGACACAGTCAAATTCTACAATAATTATATTTTGTTTGTTTTTACTCCTGAACTTCCTCCGATCATTTTCATGATGTCCATCCGGTTTGCTTCTATATGCCATATCTTTCTAACTGTGCTCTTTCACTAAAGCTCTCAACCTAGAACCTATATACTTACTATGGACACAGTATGCTTTACATTAGTTATCCTGTTGTTATTAGTTGTTGTTATTAGTCCCATCCTTCAACTCCATTCAACACCACCCATCTATCTCTTAACACCATCCATATTGGATTTCTATTTGCCATATATTTTTCAACTGTACTGTGATGTTTTACAAAAGTTCTGAACCTTTCTATTCTCATTGTTTCTACAGATCGTAAATTGAATATAAACATTTTTGCTAAAGGTATTATTATATTATTGATCGATTGACTATGACTTTTCAGATCACCCAGGTAGTGCTATCTGCAGGGTTAGCTCCAGGTAAATATTGCAATCCTTTAGCCATTCCTGGACCTGTGTCCAAAAAAAAGCTACAAATGAACAGTACCAAAACAAATGATCTAATGATTCTGTCTCTTCGCAGAGAAATCTGCAGAGCTGGGAAGATTGCATCCCCCATATAAATAACATTCTATTGGTAGCAAGAATTTGATATAATAATTTAAATTGAAAAATACTAAGTTTTGAATCCGTCGTCGTTTTGCGTATCAATTCATAAACACTATGACATGGAATCGGTAAGTCAAAAATCTCTTCCCAACTATTTTGCAATCGATATGGGACGGCTGTCAATCCTTTGGTCCTTAAATGAAACTGGTATACTTTTTAATTTATCACAAATTTCTTTAACCAATTATATTATTTCATGCAGGGCCAACAGACAAGTTCCTTACTTTTTCCCCCTTCCACTTTCCCTTTCCATTTTTGCGGTAATGCTGCAATTATTTGGTTGTAATTTTGGGTAGAGCAGACATTTCCATATGTTATTGTTAGCTGCAAGTGCAACATAACTCCACCAGTCCTACCGATAATATCATTTACGAAGATTATACCTTTTTTAAACATTTTGTCAAAAAAAAGAAGTTTTTTTTATCAATTAGTATATTTGAGTTTTAACTTAAAATTGCAACCAACGTTCTATGGCTTGTTTTAGAAATAGTGATATTTGGGAGATTATTTCCTTTTCAAATAACTTAAAGTGAGAGGTTGTAATCTGAATAAAGGGGAAAAGGCCATTGTTGAACATTGGGTGAGACAATCTTACTAATTTGCTAGAGAACCAGTTTGGATTTAAGTATAACTTTTGTATGACTAAAGTTTTTAGTGAAAGTTCTAATGCTTTAATATTTAATAATTTCTGTCCTCCGAATTGATATTAATTATATAAATAGGCCCATTTAATTTTGTCTGACTTGCCGTTCCAAATAAAATTGAATATTTGTTTCTCATATAATTTAAAAAACTGTTTGCTAGGCATAGGCAAGACCATAAGCAAATAGGTACAGTGGGGAAAAATAGTATTTAGTCAGCCACCAATTGTGCAAGTTCTCCCACTTAAAAAGATGAGAGAGGCCTGTAATTTTCATCATAGGTACACGTCAACTATGACAGACAAATTGAGATTTTTTTTCTCCAGAAAATCACATTGTAGGATTTTTAATGAATTTATTTGCAAATTATGGTGGAAAATAAGTATTTGGTCACCTTCAAACAAGAAAGATTTCTGGCTCTCACAGACCTGTAACTTCTTCTTTAAGAGGCTCCTCTGTCCTCCACTCGTTACCTGTATTAATGGCACCTGTTTGAACTTGTTACCAGTATAAAAGACACCTGTCCACAACCTCAAACAGTCACACTCCAAACTCCACTATGGCCAAGACCAAAGAGCTGTCAAAGGACACCAGAAACAAAATTGTAGACCTGCACCAGGCTGGGAAGACTGAATCTGCAATAGGTAAGCAGCTTGGTTTGAAGAAATCAACTGTGGGAGCAATTATTAGGAAATGGAAGACATACAAGACCACTGATAATCTCCCTCGATCTGGGGCTCCACGCAAGATCTCACCCCGTGGGGTCAAAATGATCACAAGAACGGTGAGCAAAAATCCCAGAACCACACAGGGGGACCTAGTGAATGACCTGCAGAGAGCTGGGACCAAAGTAACAAAGCCTACCATCAGTAACACACTACGCCGCCAGGGACTCAATTCCTGCAGTGCGAGATGTGTCCCCCTGCTTAAGCCAGTACATGTCCAGGCCCGTCTGAAGTTTGCTAGCGTGCATTTGGATGATCCAGAAGAGGATTGGGAGAATGTCATATGGTCAGATGAAACAAAAATAGAACTTTTTGGTAAAAACTCAACTCGTCGTGTTTGGAGGACAAAGAATGCTGAGTTGCATCCAAAGAACACCATACCTACTGTGAAGCATGGGGGTGAGTGAAAACCTCCTTCCATCAGCAAGGGCATTGAAGATGAAACGTGGCTGGGTCTTTCAGCATGACAATGATCCCAAACACACCGCCCGGGCAACGAAGGAGTGGCTTCGTAAGAAGCATTTCAAGGTCCTGGAGTGGCCTAGCCAGTCTCCAGATCTCAACCTCATAGAAAATCTTTGGAGGGAGTTGAAAGTCTGTGTTGCCCAGCGACAGCCCCAAAACATCACTGCTCTAGAGGAGATCTGCATGGAGGAATGGGCCAAAATTCCAGCAACAGTGTGTGAAAACCTTGTGAAGACTTACAGAAAACGTTTGACCTGTGTCATTGCCAACAAAGGGTATATAACAAAGTATTGAGAAACTTTTGTTATTGACCAAATACTTATCTTCCACCGTAATTTGCAAATAAATTCATTAAAAATCCTACAATGTGATTTTCTGGAAACTTTTTTCTCATTTCGTCTGTCATACCTTTCCATGGTAGCAAGATCTTATCTATTTTTGCTAACTTTCTATTAAAATGTATTGGAGTGAGATCATTTATTACATTTGGGATATGTATTCTGAGTATATCCACATCACCATCAGACCATTTTATTGGTAAACTACATGGTAATGTAACATTTTTATTTTTTAGTGATCCAAAACGTAATATAGTACATTTATCATAATTTGGTTGTAATCTAGAGAGGTTAGAAAATGTATCTAGATTCTCTATGAGGCTGTGGAGGGATTCAAGTTGTGGATTTAAAAGAAAACATGAATCATCAGCGTACAATGACACCTTTGTTTTTAAGCCCTGGATTTTGAATCCCTTGATATTATTGTTGGATCTGATTTTAATAGCTAACATCTCGATGGCAATAATAAATTGATATGCCGATAGTGGACAACCTTGTTTCACTCCTCTTGACAGTTTAAAACTTTCGGAGAAATAGCCATTATTTACTATTTTACACCTAGGGTTACTATACATGATTTTAACCCAATTTATAAGAGATTGTCCAAATTGAAATGCTCCAGGCATTTATATATAAACCCCAGTCATACTTTATCAAATGTCTTTTCAAAATCTGCTATGAATAGTAGGCCTGGTTTCCCAGATTTTTCAAAGTGTTCTATTGTTTCCAGGACTTGCCTTATATTATCTCCAATGTATCGCCCATGTAAAAAACCTGTCTGATTAGAATGACTAATATCCGACAATACATTTTTAATTCTATGCACTATACGTTTCGCAATAATTTTTGCATCACAGCACTGAAGTGTAAGGGGCCTCCAATTTTTTTAATGGACTGGATCTTTATATTTTCCACTTGTATCCTGTTTCAGTAATAATGAAATCAGACCTTCTTCTTGAGTGTCAGATAATCTACCATTTACATAGGAGTGGTTAAAACATGCTAATAACGGTCCTCTGAGTATATAAAAAAAGGTTTTGTATACATCGACTGGTATGCCATCCAACCCTGGAGTTTTTCCGGACTTAAAGTCTTTAATTGCATCCAGAAGTTCCTCCTCTGTAATTTCACCTTCACAAGAGTCTTTCTGTATGGCTGTTAATTTTACATTATCAATAGAAAAAACATCTCTACAATTAGCTTCAGTTAGTGGAGATGGAGGCGACTGAAACGAAAACATATGCTTAAAGTACTTTGTTTCCTCCTTCAAAATATCATTTGGTGAATCATGGTTGACTCCGTCATTTGTAACCAGTTTCAATCAATTCTTTCTGGTAGCATTCCAATGTTGAAGATAAAAAAATAATTTGGTGCATTTTCCCCCATATTCCATCCAGTTTGCTTTATTTGTATAATATATTACACTTGATCTTTCTTGAATAAGTTTCTCCATTTATTTTTGTTTTTCCTCTAATTTATTCTGAGCCTCTATGTTACAGTTTTTATTGCCATCTATCTTTTCTGACTTTCTATTTCCTTTGTTAGTGTGGATTCTTTTTTCTTATTTTTTTGGTCATTTAGCAGACGCTCTTATCCAGACCTAAATTGATTTTGTTTTCGAGATGAGTACTGAATTGCATGGCCTCTAAAGGCACATTTAAAGGTGTCCCATACAATAAGGGGATTTGCTGTACCTATGTTATGTCGGAAAAAATCTGTTATAAATTCCTCTGTCCTAGTTAAAAACAAGTTATCATCCAATAGGCTTTGATTACATTTCCAATATCCTCGCCCACGTGGAAATTCAGTAAGAGTAATGTATATGCCAATTATGTGATGGTCAGGGGCCTCCTGTAGCTCAGTTGGTAGAGCATGGCGCTTGCAATGCCAGGGTTGTGGGTTCGATTCCCACGGGGGGCCAGTTTGAAAAATGTATGCAATAACTAACTGTATGTTGCTCTGGATAAGAGCGTCTGCTAAATGACTAAAATGTCAAATGGTCCGACTGCATTCTGTCCCCTATCAACACTTTTTAAACTTTTGGTGCCAACGAAAATGACATAAGAAAGAAGTCAAGACGACTAGCTTGATTGAGTCTCTGCCACGTATATCTCACTAGATCAGTGAGATAGTCCTCTGTAGCTCAGCTGTAGTTTCGTGGTCCTCTGTAGCTCAGCTGGTAGAGCACGGCGCTTGTAACGTCAAGGTAGTGGGTTCGATCCCCGGGACCACCCATACACAAAAAAATTATAATGTATGCACGCCTGACTGTAAGTCGCTTTGGATAAAAGCGTCTGCTAAATTGCATATTATATTATATTATATCAGGATATTTAAGCCTCCATATATCTACTAGTTCTAATGTATCCATGACATTCACGATTTCCTTAAGAGCATGAGGGTGATTGTTTGTGGTGTGATTTCCTTTACGGTCCATTGAGCTATTTAAAACGGTATTATAATCTCCCACCATAATAATATTGTCTTGAGTTGCTTGCAGAGTTGATAAGTTATTTTATATATTGTAAAAGAAGTGTGGATCATCATTATTTGGTCCGTAAAGGTTAATGAGCCATATCTGTTTATGGTCCAATAACATATTTAAAATAATCCATCTACCTTGCTTATCTGCCCCAACCCAGAACTACATGCTTCTCCTCCTGCTTCTCCTCCTGCTTCTCCTCCCCAGTGCTACCTGCTTCTCCTCCTGTAGATGATAGTGGAAACCAAAAAGGGTTCTACCTGGAACCAAAAAGGGTTCTATCTGGAACCGAAAAGTGTTCTACCTGGAACCAAAAAGGGTTCTACCTGGAAACAAAAAGGTTTCTTTAAAATGTTGTCCTATGGGGACAGCCAAAGCACCCTTTTAGGTTCTAGATAGCACCTTTTTTTTCTAGGAGTGTATGATTTTCACAATGTAGGTTTCTCCCAGTGTTTTCCTAATGTCATCCGTCCAATCAGACGATAAACAGCAGACGAACAGGATGTGGGTACATCATGTCAGAACTTTACATGGGTCTTTAATAGCCAGAGTATAAAGCCTCTAGAATGTTTCCTAAGAGAGTCATTAGAGAGTTGTTTGGGTTAGGGTTAGCAGTCCCCACATGAACAAATACTACAGTACTTACTATAGAATTATTTAGTAAACTGTAGTATATTGTAGAATACTGTACTACAAACTGCAGTATCCCTTGAACATGTGTAGTACTGTACTTACTATAGAATGTTATTGGTATACTGTAGAATACTATAGTAAATACTACAGTATTATCTGCAATTCACTACAGTCCGCAAAACACTACACTCTTTTAACTATAGTAAATACTACCGTATTTAATTTGCATATACCTCATCCGTTCCCATCCCCCATATCCCACTTTGTACCACCCATAAGTGAGAAACCTACATGCCAAGTATAGACCATATATTGTGTTCCCTGCAGATCATAGATGAGAGCAGAAGCTCTGAACTAGCTGTTCCTACCAACAGGTTATGGAAAATATGCTATTTTAGTATTTCTCCAGTAGGTTTCCTGAAGGAAAAAGCCTCCACTTCTATGTCAAAGACAATAAAACTAAAACACTGTTGTAAATACTACAGTAATATCTGTAAAAAATACTACAGTATACTACAATCGAGAGCATTTTGACTGGCTGCATCACCGCTTGGCATCCGACCGCAAGGCGCTACAGAGGGTAGTGCATAGTCAAATTCCTCGTGACCGTGTAGTCACGGTAACTAGGCTTCTCCAAGCTCTGATGCTGCTGATGGTCATTAGTAGCCTACCAAACTTGCTATCTGCCTGGTACTCAGCACTCTATTGTCCCTCTAATCACTCTGACATCAATGCAAATGTCATCCAAAATCTAATCAAACGCTTCATGAGAGCCCATGAGCTCATTTTGCGCAACATTTCTATAGGCTATGCAATTGCGTGAGAAAACAGAGTGATGGCCTCTATTACAAAGAGGAGGATACCATCAGCTTTCCATAGGCTAGGCCTACTATATTTATTTCTCAATCTTCCTAATATTAAGCACATTGCTTCTCTTTAAAACAGGACTATAGCCTACCTGGCTGGCATGAAAATAAACCACGGGGGAAAGCGTCCTCCATTCGCTATTTAAGTGCATAGATAGATGACAGTTTCCGCTGCCCCTGTTTTGATACAGGTGCATGATAATGGTATATTCTAAATCAAAACAAATGTCGCACTTATATTATTTAGTGTATGTAAAGACAAGACTAAATCAAGAATAACTAATTAATGGTAAATTACCTTGAGACCCACAGTTATTTGCTTGACAATCACCGGCTGACATTTTTACATTTACATTTTAGTCATTTAGCAGACGCTCTTATCCAGAGCATACCTACATACATAACTTTTTTTTTGTTACTTTTTTCATAATGGCCCCCCGTGGGAAACGAACACACAACCCTGGCGTTACAAACGCCATGCTCTACCAACTGAGCTACATCCCGTGTCGTGACCGCCACAGCCCTAGTAGTACATCACTGGGGCCAAGCTTCCTGCCATCCAGGACCTCTATACCAGGCGGTGTCAGAGGAAGGCCCAGTACATCACTGGGGCCGAGCTCCCTGCCATCCAGGACCTCTATACCAGGCGGTGTCAGAGGAAGGCCCAGTACATCACTGGGGCCGAGCTCCCTGCCATCCAGGACCTCTATACCAGGCGGTGTCAGAGGAAGGCCCAGTACATCACTGGGGCCGAGCTTCCTGCCATCCAGGATCTCTATACCAGGCGGTGTCAGAGGAAGGCCCTAAACATGTCCAAAGACTCCAGCCACCGAAGTCATAGACTGTTCTCTCTGCTACTGCACGGCAAGCGGTACCGATGCAACCAACAGGACCCTGAACAGCTTCTAACCCCAAGCTATAAGACTGCTAAATAGCTACCTGGACTAACTTACTTGACTCAGCAAATACACTGCTGATTTTTACTATTTGCCACTTTATTCCTAGATGTACATACATATCTACCTCCATTACCTCGTACCCCTACACATCCACTCAGTATTTTTGCTATTTTACCCTTATTTTACCAGGTAAATTGACTGAAAACACATTCATAGCAACAACCTGGGGAATAGTTACAGCAGAGAGGAATGAGCCAGTTGGAAGCTGGGGATGATTAGGTGGCCATGATGGTATGAGGGCCAGATTGGGAATTTAGCCAAGGACACCAGGGTTAACACCCTACTCTTACGATAAGTGCCATGGGAACTTTATTGACCACAGAGAGTCAGGATACCTGTTAAACATCCCATCCAGAAGACAGCACCCTACGCAGGGCAATGTCCCCAACTGGGGACATTGGTATATTTTTTTTTAAGACCAGAAGAAAGAGCGCCTCCTACTGGCCCCGACAACACCACTTCCAGCAGCATCTGGTCTCCCATCCAGGGACTGACCAGGTCCAACCCGGACCAACCCTGCTTAGCTCCGCCAGCAGTGGGATGCAGGGTGGTATGCTGCTGGCGTACCCTGTGTATATAGCCAAGTTATCGTTACTCATTGTGTATGTACTCCTGAGTGGCGCAGTGGTCTAAGGCACTGCATCGCAGTGCTAACTGTGCCACTAGAGATCCTGGTTCGAATCCAGGCTCTGTCGCCGCCGGCCGCGACCGGGAGACTCATGGGGCGGCGCACAATTCGTCCAGGGTAGGGGAGGGAATGGCCGGCAGGGATGTAGCTCAGTTGATAGAGCATGGCGTTTGCAACGCCAGGGTTGTGGGTTCGATTCCCACGGGGGACCAGTATAAAAAAAATATGTATTCACTAACTGTAAGTCGCTCTGGATAAGAGCGTCTGCTAAATGACTATAATGTAATGTGTATTTATTATTAAGTGTTTTACTTTTCTATTATTTCTCTATTTTCTTTCTCTCTGTGTTGTTGGGAAGGAAGGGCCCGTAAGGAAACATTTCACTGTTAGTCCACACCTGTTGTTTACGAAGCATGTGACGAATACATGTTGATTTGATTTAGTAAATACTACATTATTAATTTTAGTGAATACTACAGTAAAGTCAGCAAAAACACTACAGTGAATACTATAGTATTTATGCCAGAGTATACTATAGTATTTATGCCAGTGAATACTATAGTATTTATGCCAGAGTATACTATAGTATTTATGCCAGAGTATACTATAGTATTTATGCCAGAGTATGCTATAGTATTTATGCCAGAGTATACTATAGTATTTATGCCAGAGTATACTATAGTATTTATGCCAGCGTATACTATAGTATTTATGCCAGAGTATACTATAGTATTTATGCCAGAGTATACTATAGTATTTATGCCAGAGTATACTACTACAGTAAAGTCAGCAAAAACACTACAGTGAATACTATAGTATTTATGCCAGAGTATACTATAGTATTTATGCCAGTGAATACTATAGTATTTATGCCAGAGTATACTATAGTATTTATGCCAGAGTATACTATAGTATTCATGCCAGAGTATGCTATAGTATTTATGCCAGAGTATACTATAGCATAGAGTATACTATAGTATTTATGCCAGAGTATACTATAGTATTTATGCCAGAGTATACTATAGTATTTATGCCAGAGTATACTATATTATTTATGCCAGAGTATACTATAGTATTTATGCCAGAGTATACTATAGTATTTATGCCAGAGTATACTATAGTATTTATGCCAGAGTATACTATAGTATTTATGCCAGAGTATACTATAGTATTTATGCCAGAGTATACTATAGTATTTATGCCAGAGTATACTATAGTATTTATGCCAGAGTATACTATAGTACTTTTTTATGTGGGGAGGTTATTGATTTATCTTATTGTATTAATTAATTAAAATCTATTTTTCAAAAGAGACCTGGTCCAACCATGACAGCAGCAGAGGGGAACAGTTTCAGACACATTTCAGACATAACAACTTACAGACATAGACACACCAGAAAACAAAATATAGACGTATACACATACATTACAATTACAGAAACATACAAGCGTCGTAGTTTAAAATCAATCATACAGTATGTACCACTGCATGAAGTCCCAATGACAATCACATTCCTCAGTAACATGCCGAGTCAACCAAACTTTTAAACTCCTCCAAGGAAACAAGATCCTGGAGTTTCAAGCTGGTCTGGAGATAATTCCAAGACCACTGAGCTGAGTAACTAAAAGATCCGTTCTGATTTTAGGAACCGTTAAAAGTAAGTAGGAGTGAGACAGTAACTGGTATTTATTTTCTGACCTTATCAAAGAAGAACAGAGATAAAGTGGGAGTTTTCCCAAAGTGGCCTTACAGATCATAGTACATCAATGTTTAAGCCTACGTAGAGTCAACGAAGACCAGCCAACACCACTATAGAGATCACAGTGGTGTGAACACTTTCCCTTTAGATAGGCCCGCTGCAAAGTCAAATATATATAGACAGTAAAAATTCATGAAAACAAAAAATAGCTTTTTGGTCTTAATTTAAGGTTAGGGTTAGGCATTAGGGTTAGCAGTGTGGTTAAGTTTATGGTTAAGGTTAGGGTTAGGCATTAGTTTATGGTTAAGGTTAGGTTTAAAATCAGATTTTCTGACTTTGTGGCTGTGCTAGCTAGTGACCACTCTTCAGAGCTGCCTCCAGGGCAAGATTCATGACGAAAAACGCTAAACTGCTATTGGCTCTCCTTACCCTTCCAGCTAATGACCACAGAACCTTCTATTAACAAAAACATACCCAGGCAGGGATTGATCTCAGATGAACATCCAATTAAAAACACTTTCTAAACCAGCCATGGTAAACACTGACAATGTAATCAGCAAAAACAAATAGCAGAGAAGTTTGATTTTGTAATGAGATAATTGAAAGTGGAAGAGCTGAAGGAATGCTATAGACTCTCCTAGACGGCAGGTAGCTTAGTGGTTAAGAGCGTTGTGCCAGTAACCGAAAGGTCGCTGGTTCTAATCCCTGAGCTGACTAGGTGAAAAATCTGTCTGTGCCCTTGAGCAAGGCACTTAACCCTAGTTGCTCTGGATAAGAGCGTCTGCTAAATGACTTAAATGTAAAGGAGACAACATAGAAAATCCTTGACGTGTCTGAAAGCTGAATCAGTCAATTTAGTGATCTGCTAACGGAGCGCTAGTGGTTGGCTATCATGCACCTCTGCACCCACTGTTGGGATTTCAGATCCCTTTTGGATAGCCCTAGCCTAGGGGCTCTATTTTCTGCTGGCGCTACGGTGGCACAAGTTCGTTTTTTTCAACCCATGCGCCCGTCTCAGCAATTTACCTCTCTAATATCAGCTCGCTCGCACTGAGGTGGGAGGGGTTGCAATATTTGAGGTGCGTCCTTAAAAACAAGCGCAAAAGTGACAGTTTCATGCAGCGCATATTGGAAGATTTAAGACCAACGTCTTAGTGCTAACAGGGTTGGTAATGATTGGGAGGTTTAAGACCCACGTCTTAGTGCTAACAGGGTTGGTAATGATTGGGTGGTTTAAGACCCACGTCTTAGTGCTAACAGGGTTGGTAATGATTGGGAGGTTTAAGACCCACGTCTTAGTGCTAACAGGGTTGGTAATGATTGGGTGGTTTAAGACCCACGTCTTAGTGCTAACAGGGTTGGTAATGATTGGGAGGTTTAAGACCCACGTCTGAGTGCTAACAGGGTTGGTAATGGCATGGATTGTGGCAATGGAAGCACAGCCTATCCAGCCGTGACACACAGTGACCTTATGCTCATGGAACAGGAGAGTAGATGTGCTTTTTGTGCCAGTAACACTCGTATTTTGAAACATGAAAAGACAAACGTTTTTTTTCTCCATTTGGTTTCATTTGATTAAAACCTTATAGACTCCCCTCTCCTCAATGAAGGCAGTATTTTTGTCCTGTCCAATGTGTTCGCCAAGTAGCCAAGCCTATCAATAAAGGGTTTGACTCGTGAGACTGGTTTGAAATCAATGTTAATCACCAAACCTTTATTAAAAGATCAAGTTTGGGAACAGCAAGACAGTGAGTTGACATCCCCTTTATATCTATGTATTGTGTAGGCCTACATTATGTTATCTATGTATTGTGTAGACCTACATTATGTTATCTATGTATTGTGTAGGCCTACATTATGTTATCTATGTATTGTGTAGGCCTACATTATGTTATCTATGTATTGTGTAGACCTACATTATGTTATCTATGTATTGTGTAGGCCTACATTATGTTATCTATGTATTGTGTAGGCCTACATTATGTTATCTATGTATTGTGTAGGCCTACATTATGTTATCTATGTATTGTGTAGGCCTACATTATGTTATCTATGTATTGTGTAGGCCTACATTATGTTATCTATGTATTGTGTAGGCCTACATTATGTTATCTATGTATTGTGTAGGCCTACATTATGTTATCTATGTATTGTGTAGGCCTACATTATGTTATCTATGTATTGTGTAGGCCTACATTATGTTATCTATGTATTGTGTAGACCTACATTATGTTATCTATGTATTGTGTAGGCCTACATTATGTTATCTATGTATTGTGTAGGCCTACATTATGTTATCTATGTATTGTGTAGACCTACATTATGTTATCTATGTATTGTGTAGGCCTACATTATGTTATCTATGTATTGTGTAGACCTACATTATGTTATCTATGTATTGTGTAGGCCTACATTATGTTATCTATGTATTGTGTAGACCTACATTATGTTATCTATGTATTGTGTAGGCCTACATTATGTTATCTATGTATTGTGTAGGCCTACATTATGTTATCTATGTATTGTGTAGGCCTACATTATGTTATCTATGTATTGTGTAGACCTACATTATGTTATCCAGGTCCCGTTTTGGACATATGTATAACTCCCTCCATGTAGGTTACATGTCCATATGTCCATCATGAAACCAGAGATGAGATGATGCTGGTGACTCTTGTATTCAGAACTTATTTTCCTGTAACAATATGTTCTGCCCCCAGAGCCCTTGCTTGTTTTTTGTTTAATGTCCATATGTCCATAACGTAACATAAACAAATGAAAATGAAAGAGTTGCAAATGAAAAGCCATATCTCAGACTGGCCAATAAAAAGAAAAGATTGGGCAGTCTGAGATATGGCAACTCTGCCTAGAAGGTCAGCATCCCGGAGTCGCCTCTTCACTGTTGACGTTGAGACTGGTGTTTTGCGGGTACTATTTAATGAAGCTGCCACAACAGTTTTCAGCTGTGCTAACATAATTGCAAAAGGGTTTCTAATGATCAATTAGCCTTTTAAAAATGATAAACTTGGATTAGCAAACACAACGTGCCATTGGAACACAGGACTGATGGTTGCTGATAATGGGCCTCTGTATGCCTATGTAGATATCCCATTAAAAATCAGCCGTTTCCAGCTACAATAGCCATTTACAACATTAACAATGTCTACACTGTATTTCTGATCAATCTGATGTTATTTTAATGGACAAAAAAACGTTTTTATTTCGAAAACAAGGACATTTCTAAGTGACCCCAAACATTTGAACGGTAGTGTATATGGCTATATACCTATTCGTCTGTATTTCAAATAAAAAACGGAAATATTAGATTTACATAAGTATTCCGACCCTTTACTATAGAGTCCAAGATGGCGTAGCAGTGCGGTTGTGTACTCTGTAGTGTGTCCGTGGAAATAGCCTGTTTTTTACTGAATTACTGGACCTTTAACACCGGATCATCGCATCTAGCTAGCTGCAACCGAATGGATGTTGTGGTTGGCTAATCAGCCTTGAGCTAGCCTCGAGTCAAGCCCATCTGCCGGCTATCTACCTCTCTGTCAACCGGACGGGACCTCCTAGTGTTGACATGGAGCCCCGCCGATCCATCACGACTGGTCTGCCGACGTAATCGTCTATGGTTTCAACAGGCTTCCCGTTGCGACGACCACGAAGATCCATCTGCTAGCCCCGGCCCGCTAGCACACGGAATTCAACAGCCGTGCTTCCTGCTCGCCTGTGCTGTAGTACCAATTCGAATGGCTCTCGGACTCACATATTGCTGTTCACTGGACATTATGATCACTCAGCAGCACAGCTGATCCCTGCTGGACTGTTCCTTTACACGGTACCCTGTCCTGTTTTATCTGTTTAGCCTCAGCCCAAACTTTCATCACCATTACCAGTTGTTGTCTTAGCTCTCTCTAATAACACCTGTGATTGCTTTATGCCTCTCTCCCATGTCAATATGCCTTGCCTATTGCTGTTCCAGTTAGTTCTTATTATACAATTTCACTGTAGAACCCCAAGTCCCTCTCAACCTGCCTCAAATAGCTCCTTTGTTCCACCCCCCATACACGCGGAGACCAGCTCAATCGGTGCCTCCAGTGATGCTATATCTTTCATTGTTACCCAACGCTTAGGTTTACCTCTACTGTACTCATATCCTTCCATATCCTTATCTGTACATAATGCCCTGAATCTATTCTACAACGCCTGGAAATCTGCCCCTTTTATTCTCTGTACCCAACGCACTAGAAGACCAGTTCTTAAAGCCTTTAGCCGTATCCTTATTCTAGTCCTCCTCTGTTCCTCTGGTGATGTAGAGGTTAACCCAGGCCCTGCAGCCCCCAGTATCACTCCTGCTCCCCAGGCGCTATCATTTGTTGACTTCTGTAACCGTAAAAGCCTTGGCTTTTTGCATGTTAACATCAGAAGCCTCCTCCCTAAGTTTGAGTTATTCACTGCGTTAGCACACTCCGCCAACCCTGATGTTCTAGCAGTGTCTGAATCCTGGCTTAGGAAGGCCATCAAAAATTCAGAAATGTCCACCTTCCGGAGACATTTGAAACCCCACCTCTTTAAGGAATACCTGGGATAGGCTAAAGTATTCCTTCTAACCCCCCCCCCCCCCCCCCCCCCCCCCCCCCAAAATTGTAAAGTGGTTATCCCACTGGCTATAGGGTGAACGCACCAATTTGTGAGTCGCTCTGGCTAAGAGCGTCTGCTAAATGACGTTAATGTGCCCTTGAGCAAGGCACTTAACCCTAATTGCTCCTGTAAGTCGCTCTGGTTAAGAGCGTCTGCTAAATGACTAAAATGTAAATGTAAATGTAAACTACAACATTTTCCGTCTGCAGAGCTCTATCATACTATCCAGGTCTGTGCCCAAACAGTTTGAGCTCCGTCTTCTAAAAATCCACCTTTCCAGAAATAAGTCTCTCACTGTTGCCGCTTGCTACAGACCCCCTCAGCCCCCAGCTGTGCCCTGGACACCATATGTGAATTGATTGCCCCCCATCTATCCTCAGAGTTCGTACTGCTTGGTGACCTAAATTGGGATATGCTTAACACCCCGGCCATCCTACAATCCAAACTAGATGCCCTCAATCTCACACAAATTATCAAGGAACCTACCAGGTACAACCCTAAATCTGTAAACATGGGCACCCTCATAGATATCATCCTGACTAACTTACCCTCTAAATACACCTCTGCTGTCTTCAACCAGGATCTCAGCGATCACTGCCTTATTGCCTTCGTCCGTAACGGGTCCGCGGTCAAACGACCACCCCTCATCACTGTCAAACGCTCCCTAAAACACTTTAGCGAGCAGGCCTTCCTAATTGACCTGGCCCAGGTATCCTGGATGGATATCGATCTCATTCCGTCAGTAGAGGTTGCCTGGTTGTTCTTTAAAAGTGCTTTCCTCTCAATCTTAAATAAGCATGCCCCATTCAAAAAATTCAGAACTAAGAGCAGATATAGCCCCTGGTTCTCCTCAGAATTGACTGCCCTTGACCAGCACAAAAACATCCTGTGGCGTACTGCATTAGCATCGAACAGCCCCCGTGATATGCACATTTTCAGGGAAGTTAGGAACCAATATACACAAGCAGTTAGGAAAACAAAGGCTAGCTTTTTCAAACAGAAATGTGCATCCTGTAGCACTAACTCCAAAAGGTTTTGGGACCCTGTAAAGTCCATGGAGAATAAGAGCACCTCCTCCCAGCTGCCCACTGCACTGAGGCTAGGAAACAATATCAACACCGATAAATCTACAATAATCGAGAATTTCAACAAGCATTTTGCTACAGCTGGCCATGCTTTCCACCTGGCTACCACTACCCCGGCCACCAGCTCTGCACCCTCCGCTGCAACTTGCCCATGCCCCCCCCCCCCTTCTCCTTCACACAAATTCAGACAGCTGATGTTCTGAAAGAGCTGCAAAATCTGGAACGCTACAAATCATCTGGCCTAGACAATCTGGACCCTTTCTTTCTAAAATTAGAAGCCGAAATTGTCGCAACCCTATTACTAGCCTGTTCAACCTCTCTTTCGTAACGTCTGAGATCCCCAGAGATTGGAAAGCTGCCGCGGTCATCTCCCTCTTCAAAGGGGGTGACACTCTAGATCCAAACTGTTACAGACCTATATCCATCCTGCCCTGCCTTTCAAAAGTTTTTGAAAGCCAAGTTAACAAACAGATCACCAACCAATCCGAATCCCACCATACCTTCTCCGCTATGTAATCCGGTTTCCGAGCTGGTCATGGGTGCACCTCAGCCATGCTCAAGGTCCTAAACGATATTATAACCGCGATCGATAATAGACAGTACTGTGCAGCCGTCTTCATCAACCTGGCCAAGGCTTTTGACTCTGTCAACCACCGCATTCTTATTGGCAGACTTAATAGCCTTGGTTTCTCAAATGACTGCCTCGCCTGGTTCACCAACTACTTCTCAGTTAGAGATCAATGTGTCAAATCGGAGGGCCTGTTGTCTGGACCTATGGCAGTCTCTATGGAGGTGCCACAGGGTTAAATTCTCGGGCCGACTCTTTTCTTTGTGTATATCAATGATGTCGCTCTTACTGCTGGTGACTCTCAGATCCACCTCTACGCAGACGACACCATTTTGTATACATCTGGCCCTTCATTGGACACTGTGTTAACAAACCTCCAAACGAGCTTCAACACCATACAACACTCCTTCCGTAGCCTCCAACTGCTCTTAAACACTAGTAAAACTAAATGCAACCCGCCCACCCGACTAGAATCACTACTCTCGGCAGGTCTGACCTAGAATATGTGGACAACTACAAATACCTAGGTGTCTGGTTAGACTGTAAACTATCCTTCCAGACTCACATTAAGCATCTCCAATCCAAAGTTAACTCTAGAATCGGCTTTCTATGTCGCAACAAAGCCTCCTTCACTCATGCTGCCAAACATGCCCTCGTAAAACTGACTATCCTACCGATCCTTGACTTCGGCGATGTCATTTACAAAATAGCCTCCAACACTCTACTCAGCAAATTGGATGTAGTCTATCACAGTGCCATCCGTTTTGTCACCAAAGCCCCATATACTACCCACCACTGTGACCTGTACGCTCTTGTTGGCTGGTCCTCACTACATATTCGTCGCCAAACCCACTGGCTCCAGGTCATCTATAAATCACTGCTAGGCAAATCCCCGCCTTATCTTAGCTCATCGGTCACCATAGCAACACCCACCCGTAGTATGCGCTCCAGCAGGTATATCTCACAGGTCATCCCCAAAGCCAACACCTCCTTTGGCTGCCATTCCTTCCAGTTCTCTGCTGCCAATGACTGGAACGAACTGCAAAAATCTCTGAAGCTGGAGACTCTTATCTCACTCACTAACTTTAAGCATCAGTTGTCAGAGCACCTTACCGATCACTGCACCTGTACACAGCCCATCTGAAATTAGCCCACCCAACTACCTCATCCCCATATTGTTATTTATTTTGCTCATATGCACCCCAGTATCTCTATTTGCACATCATCTCTTGCACATCTATCATTGCAGTGTTAATACTAAATTGTAATTATTTTGCACTATGGCCTATTTATTGCCTTACTTCCATAACTTACTACATTTGCACACACTGTATATAGATTTTCTGTTGTATTTTTGACTTTATGTTTTGTTTACCCCATATGTAACTCTGTGTTGTTGTTTTTAACGCACTGCTTTGCTTTATCTTGGCCAGGTCGCAGTTGTAAATGAGAACTTGTTCTCAACTGGCTTACCTGGTTAAATAAAGGTGAAAAAATATATATATAGTTTGTTGAAGCAGCGATTACAGCCTCGAGTCTGTGGAGGCATCACCGGCTGGATCACCCTTATGTACAGTGCCTTGCAAAAGTATTCATCCCCCTTGCCGTTTTTCCTATTTTGTTGCATTACAACCTGTAATTTAAATTGATTTTTATTTGGATTTCATGTAATGGACCAAATTGGTGAAGTGAAATGAATAAAATAACTTGTTTCAAAAAAATTATAAAAAATAAATAACGGAAAAGTGGTGCGTGCATATGTATTCACCCCCTTTGCTATGAAGCCCCTAAATAAGATCTGGTGCAACCAATTACCTTCAGAAGACACATAATTAGTTAAATCAAGTCCACCTGTGTGCAATCTAAGTGTCACATGATCTGTCACGTGATCTCAGTATATATACACCTGTTCTGAAAGGCCCCAGAGTCTGCAACACCACTAAGCAAGGGGCACCACCAAGCAAGCGGCACCATGAAGACCAAGGAGCTCTCCAAACAGGTCAGGGACAAAGTTGTGGAGAAGTACAGAACAGGGTTCGGTTATCAAAAAATATCCTAAACTTTGAAAATCCCACGGAGCACCATTAAATCCATTATTAAAAAACGGAAAGAAAATAACAAACCTGCCAAGAGAGGACCGGCAACCAAAACTCACGGACCAGGCAAGGAGGGCATTAATCAGAGAGGCAACAAAGAGACCTAAGATAACCCTGAAGGAGCTGCAAAGCTCCACAGCGGAGATTGGAGTATCTGTCCATAGGACCACTTTAAGCCGTACACTCCACAGAGCTGGGTTTACGGAAGGGTAGCCAGAAAGAAGCCATTGCTTAAAGAAATAAATAAGCAAACACGTTTGTTGTTCGCCAAAAGGCATGTGTGAGACTCCCCAAACATATGGAAGAAGGTACTCTGGTCAGATGAGACTAAAATTTAGCTTTTTGGCCATCAAGGAAAACGCTATGTCTGGCGCAAACCCAACACCTCTCATCACCCAGAGAACACCATCCCCTCAGTGAAGCATGGTGGTGGCTCCCAGTCCCTGTTGCTGAAAAACATCCCCACAGCATGATGCTGCCACCACCATGCTTCACCGTGGGTATGGTACCAGGTTTCCTCCAGATGTGACACTTGGCATTCAGGCCAATGAGTTCAATCTTGGTTTCATCAAACCAGAAAATCTTGTTTCTCATGATCTGAGAGTCCTTTAGGTACCTTTTAGCAAACTCTAAGCGGGCTGTCATGTGCCTTTTACTGAGGAGTGGCTTCCGTCTTGCCGCTCTACCAGAAAAGCCTGATTGGTGTGGTGCTGCATAGATGTTTGTCCTTCTGGAAGGTTCTCCCATCTCCACAGAGTAACTCTGGAGCTCTGTCAGAGTGACATGGGGTTCTTGGTCACCTCCCTGACCAAGGCCCTTCTCCCCCGATTGCTCAGTTTGGCCAGGCGTTCTTGGTGGTTCCAAACTTCTTCCATTTAAGAATTATGGAGGCCACTATTTTCTTGGGGACCTTCAATGCTGCAGAATTGTTTTGGTACCTTTCCCCAGATCAGTGCCTCGACACAATCCTGTCTCGGAGCTCTACGGACAATTTATTCGACCTCATGGCTTGGACTTTGCTCTGACATGTACTGTCAACTGTGGGACCTTATATAGACAGGTGTTTGCCTTTCCAAATCATGTCCAATCAACTGAATTTACCACAGGTGGACTCCAATCAAGTTGTAGAAATATCTCAAGGATGATCAATGGAAACAGGATGCACCTGAGCTCAATTTCGAGTCTTGTAGCAAAGGGTCTGAATACTTATGTAAATAAGGTATTTCTGTTTTTAATTTTTAATAAATTTGCAAAAATGTCTAAAAACCTGTTTTCACTTTGTCATTATGGGGTATTGTGTATAGATTCATGAGGACACAAATTAATTTAATCAATTTTAGAATAAGGCTGTAATGTAACAAAATGTGGAAAAAGTCAAGGGGTCTGAATACTTTCCGAATGCACTGTACATGGCTCAAACATGGCAGTTTACAGTAGACATAGCCCCTATATCAGTGTGAATGTTTAACAATATATTTCCATATTGAAGCCACGCAATGAATTAAAACAATGTGGACTGCAAACATGTTCAACATATTTAGCAAAGATGGGGTAGGCCTACATTATATTATGTTGGTTTAGCAGGCTATTTAACGAACTAGGCTATAACGGACTAACATCCTAATTGGAGTTGATGACAACGCAATACACAAAAGACTCTAAATACACAACTTGAAGCAACCACATATTTAGCCTTGGAGCACGTTCTGATTGGCCAGTGAGGGGGTCAAGCCTTGACACACCTTCAACTTGTTTATTCATCAAAACCCTTTCGCCCCACCACCAGCTAGTGCACCCCAAAATTCTGGTTGTGAAAATAGCAAAAATATTTCTGACCCCCTGAAACCTACAGCACCCATTCCGTTAGGTTTGTTCAAATAGAGCCCTGAGTCTTGCTACAGACACAATCCTAAGAGGGAATCATTGACGTGTTGAATTATTGAAAAACTAACCAGTAAGTTACAAAGCCTATTTTCTGAAAACACCACTGTTTTGTGTGGTTGGGTATCATGCATCTCTGCACCCACTCAAATCACTTTGGAAAAGCCAGTCCGTTGTTTTGCCTTACCACTGTTCTCTGTCTTTTTAAATCATAAGAGACCGTTCTTCCAGTTGTGACGTTCCTGTGTTGTCCACCAGAGGGAGGTGTAGGACAATAGATTGAGGAGGTGTGCTCTTACCTAGAGTCTGGAAAGGCTGTTTAGAGGTAGTCGGCACGATGCATAATGATAATAAAGGTGGCTGTGCTTTTACTGGTTGTTTCTCCTCCGTGCCGTTGTCACTCAAACACCCACACACACACTGAGCCCCCGCCCCCTCCGTGCCGTTGTCAGTCAAACACCCACACACACACTGAGCCCCCGCCCCCTCCGTGCCGTTGTCAGTCAAACACCCACACACACACTGAGCCCCCGCCCCCTCCGTGCCGTTGTCACTCAAACACCCACACACACACTGAGCCCCCGCCCCCTCCGTGCCGTTGTCAGTCAAACACCCACACACACACTGAGCCCCCGCCCCCTCCGTGCCGTTGTCAGTCAAACACCCACACACACACTGAGCCCCCGCCCCCTCCGTGCCGTTGTCACTCAAACACCCACACACACACTGAGCCCCCGCCCCCTCCGTGCCGTTGTCAGTCAAACACCCACACACACACTGAGCCCCCGCCCCCTCCGTGCCGTTGTCAGTCAAACACCCACACACACACTGAGCCCCCGCCCCCTCCGTGCCGTTGTCAGTCAAACACCCACACACACACTGAGCCCCCGCCCCCTCCGTGCCGTTGTCAGTCAAACACCCACACACACACTGAGCCCCCGCCCCCTCCGTGCCGTTGTCAGTCAAACACCCACACACACACTGAGCCCCCGCCCCCTCCGTGCCGTTGTCAGTCAAACACCCACACACACACTGAGCCCCCGCCCCCTCCGTGCCGTTGTCACTCAAACACCCACACACAGCCACACAAGCCCCCTGAGCCCCCGCCCCCTTCCATTACAACTGTTGGATTTTCAAATCCAAACAACGACAGGTCTCAACCCCCCATGAACAATTAAACATTTGAGAGAACCAATCAATGCGTCGGCTCAATTTCTGAGCAGATTCTGAGCATTTACAACACCAGACATGTGTTCTCTCCTCTACTGCACATTTCCTGTGGGGATTCTTAATCCAATGTTTTACGAAAGGAACTTAAAGTGTAACCACGAATGTTCAATGTCCGATTACATTTGAAGATTTATTGGAACAACATTTTTATATATGGGCTGGTGAACATTGCTATGTTTCAGTGGACCACATTATGAACAGAAGACATACTGTATATACCTTCTGATATAGGAGCTGGTAGACTGAATAATGCTGATGTTATTATTGAGCTGTTTTTGGAAAGCCAGACGATGGTGATGAACTATGCCCAGTAGATGGCAGTACAGGATCACAGTTGTCAGGTTGGTTACCGTTACACTGTTCTGATGCAGCTGGAAATATACATCACTAGGAATGCTGTTCCCATTAAGGTCACATGCATTCCAACTCAATTCCACCTCTGATTATTGAGAGACAGAATGACAGAGATAGACGGGGATAAAGAGGGACAGTAAGAAGAGAGGGTGAGCGTAGAGGACACCATTAAGACCGGATTTTAGCCTGATTCCGTTTTTTCCCCAACATGTTGTTGTCTCCGTTTGGTTTTTCCAGGTATCTGTTTTTCCCGTTTGTTTTCAGGTTTTTGCTCTCGAAATCACACATGTTTTAATAGAAACCAGCAAAATTGGATGTTGTAAGTCCACAACAATGCTTAAACTATCAGGAGACCACTTTTGCAGTCTGGGACAAATCTTGAAAAGTAATTTGGCTTTTTGGGTGTAGTTACCCTTTAATTCCAGTGTGCACCAGCTAGAAGACTGTTGTTTGGTTAGCGATGTTTCTGTAGCGCTCATGTGATTGCAGAGTCTGCTAACCAAATGTCCACTGGATATCCAAACAATCATGATATAATTCTGCCAGGTAGGCGTAGGCTACTTTGTAGATAACATTTAATTGAGAAGGTTTATGGGAAAGCCTATCCTTCGCTACCAGAAGATGGTTATCATTAGCATCATCGCTAACGGTTACACAAAGTGTAGACAGACATGCGCACCGCACACACACATTCCTGTACCGTTTCAGAAAGTTGCAGGAAATTTAGTTTATGGGGTTAAAGGGCCTTATATTTGGTTTATGGGGTTAAAGGGCCTTATATTTGGTTTATAGGGTTAAAGGGCCTTATATTTGGTTTATAGGGTTAAAGGGCCTTATATTTGGTTTATGGGGTTAAAGGGCCTTATATTTGGTTTATAGGGTTAAAGGGCCTTATATTTGGTTTATAGGGTTAAATGGCCTTATATTTGGTTAATAGGGTTAAAGGGCCTTATATTTAGTTTATAGGGTTAAAGGTTCTTATATTTAGTTTATAGGGTTAAAGGGCCTTATATTTGGTTTATAGGGTTAAAGGGCCTTATATTTAGTTTATAGGGTTAAAGGGCCTTATATTTAGTTTATAGGGTTAAAGGGCCTTATATTTGGTTTATAGGGTTAAAGGGCCTTATATTTGGATATATAGGGTTAAAGGGCCTTATATTTGGTTTATAGGGTTAAAGGGCCTTATATTTAGTTTATAGGGTTAAAGGGCCTTATATTTAGTTTATGGGGTTAAAGGGCCTTATATTTAGTTTATAGGGTTAAATGGCCTTATATTTGGTTTATAGGGTTAAAGGGCCTTATATTTAGTTTATAGGGTTAAAGGGCCTATATTTGGTTTATAGGGTTAAAGGGCCTTATATTTGGTTTATAGGGTTAAAGGGCCTTATATTTAGTTTATAGGGTTAAAGGGCCTTATATTTGGTTTATAGGGTTAAAGGGCCTTATATTTGGTTTATAGGGTTAAAGGGCCTTATATTTGGTTTATAGGGTTAAAGGGCCTTATATTTAGTTTATGGGGTCTTTATTTAAGTGGCCTTATTTAGTTTATAGGGTTAAAGGCCTTATATTTAGTTTATAGGGTTAAAGGGCCTTATATTTGTTTATAGGGTTAAAGGGCCTTTATTTAGTTTATAGGGTTAAAGGGCCTTATTATTTAGTTTAATTTTTGTTAGGGTTAAAGGGCCTTATATTTAGTTTATAGGGTTAAAGGGCCTTTATTTAGTTTATAGGGTTAAAGGGCCTTATATTTAGTTTATAGGGTTATTTTTAAAGGGCCTTATATTTGTTTATAGGGTTAAAGGGCCTTATATTTAGTTTATAGGGTTAAAGGGCCTTAATTTAGTTTATGGGTTAAAGGGCCTTATATTTGGTTTATAGGGTTAAAGGGCCTTATATTTGGTTTATAGGGTTAAAGGGCCTTATATTTGGTTTATAGGGTTAAAGGGCCTTATATTTAGTTTATGGGTTAAAGGGCCTTATATTTGGTTTAGGCGTTTAAAGGGCCTATATTTGGTTTTGGGGTTTAAAGGGCCTTATATTTAGTTTATAGGGTTAAAGGGCCTTATATTTGGTTTATAGGGTTAAAGGGCCTTATATTTAGTTTATAGGGTTAAAGGGCCTTATATTTAGTTTATAGGGTTAAAGGGCCTTATATTTGGTTTATAGGGTTAAAGGGCCTTATATTTAGTTTATAGGGTTAAAGGGCCTTATATTTGGTTTATGGGGTTAAAGGGCCTTATATTTAGTTTATAGGGTTAAAGGGCCTTATATTTGGTTTATGGGGTTAAAGGGCCTTATATTTGGTTTATGGGGTTAAAGGGCCTTATATTTAGTTTATAGGGTTAAAGGGCCTTATATTTGGTTTATAGGGTTAAAGGGCCTTATATTTAGTTTATGGGGTTAAAGGGCCTTATATTTGGTTTATGCGGTTAAAGGGCCATATATTTGGTTTTTGGGGTTAAAGGGCCTTATATTTAGTTTATAGGGTTAAAGGGCCTTATATTTAGTTTATAGGGTTAAAGGGCCTTATATTTGGTTTATGGGGTTAAAGGGCCTTATATTTGGTTTATAGGGTTAAGGGGCCTTATATTTAGTTTATGGGGTTAAAAGGCCTTATATTTGGTTTATGGGGTTAAAGGGCCTTAGTTTATGGGGCCCTATAACCCTATAAACTAAATATATTTGTTTCCTGCATACATTACTTTATTACACCACCAGGGAGTGCCATCGCTCTAAAATTAAACAACAATTTTTTTACAGGGTGAGATTATTCATTCACCTACTGGGATTACCTTTGGATCCTAGCAGGGATTATGATGATGTTATGATTATTCTCATCAATGATTGTTTATGTTCGATGTTATTAAACATAATTTAGTAACCATTTACATTACATTTCTCTTGTACCTGTGTAATACTGTAATTGCATGATCATTTCACCGCTTTGTAATTACATAGTGAAATAGTTTTTTTGTTTATGATTTTGACATTGGTAATTGATGTCGATGATGATGATGATGATGATGATGATGATTTGTAAAATAATCATGATGTTGTTTTTAACCTCTCTAGGTTAACCATCTCAAAGCATAAATTGCTCTTATTTTACATTTTTAGTCATTTAGCAGACATTCTTATCCAGAGCGACTTACAGTTAGTGAGTGCATACATTTTTCATTCTGGCCCCCCGTGGGAATCGAACCCACAACCCTGGCGTTGCAAGCGCCATGCTCTACCAACTGAGCTACAGGAGGCCTCTTATGTTTTTGTAGTAACACTGTAATTCCTCTAGTAATAACATGTTCTGACTTAGTAATGGAATTATTGGTGTAATGGAGTTGAGCAGTTGATGAGAACGATGATAATAATTGTAATGTGTAATGATAGCAATATTATTTCTAATCTCTGATGTCTCTCCAGGTTAACCATCTCAGCAGAATGCCCCATGCAGTTAGAGGACTTCCCCATGGATGCCCACGCCTGTCCTCTCAAGTTTGGAAGCTGTAAGTTAATAAGACTCCTCACTAAACACATCTGCCATTACGGATCTGCTATTATTACACACACACACACACACACACACACACACACACACACACACACACACACACATACACACACACACACACACACACATACACACACACACGTGATGTTTCTGCTGTGAGTCTGTACCTCTGTCCCAATGCTGTGAAGGTCAGGTTCAGTGGAAGGTCATTAGTAAAAACAAAACAATGATGTCCCAAGCCGGCTGCCCTGCGGTACACCACACTCAACCCATCATTAAAGAAAACCCTCTGTGTTCTATTGGATAGGTAACACTCAATAAACCATCTGTGTTCTATTGGATAGGTAACTCTCAATTAACCATATGTGTTCTATTGGATAGGTAACTCTCAATAAACCATCTGTGTTCTATTGGATAGGTAACTCTCAATAAACCATCTGTGTTCTATTGGATAGGTAACTCTCAATAAACCATCTGTGTTCTATTGGATAGGTAACTCTCAATAAACCATCTGTGTTCTATTGGATAGGTAACTCTCAATAAACCATCTGTGTTCTATTGGATAGGTAACTCTCAATAAACCATCTGTGTTCTATTGGATAGGTAACTCTCAATAAACCATCTGTGTTCTATTGGATAGGTAACTCTCAATAAACCATCTGTGTTCTATTGGATAGGTAACTCTCAATAAACCCTCTGTGTTCTATTGGATAGGTAACTCTCAATAAACCCTCTGTTCTATTAGATAGGTAACTCTCAATAAACCATCTGTGTTCTATTGGATAGGTAACTCTCTATAAACCCTCTGTTCTATTAGATAGGTAACTATCAATAAACCCTCTGTGTTCTATTAGATAGGTAACTCTCAATAAACCCTCTGTTCTATTAGATAGGTAACTCTCTATAAACCCTCTGTTCTATTAGATAGGTAACTCTCAATAAACCCTCTGTTCTATTGGATAGGTAACTCTCAATAAACCCTCTGTTCTATTAGATAGGTAACTCTCACTCCATAATAAGGCAGAGGATGCAAATCCATAACACCTACGTTTTTTCAGCAGTAGGTTATGATCAATGATATCAAAAGCTGCACTGAAGTCTAACAAAACATCTCCCACAATCTTCTTACTATCAATTTATTTTAGCCAATCATCAGTCATTTGTGTCAGTGCCGAGCATGTTGAGTGCCCTTCCCTATAAGCATGCTGAAAGTCTGTTGTTAATTTGTTTTCTGTAAAATAACTTTGTATTTGGACAAACAACATTTTTTCCAAAAGTTTGCTAAGAGCCGGTAACAGGCTGATTGGGTCAGCTGTTTGAACCGTTAAAGGTTGCTCCGCTATTCTTGAGCAGCGGAATGACATTTGACTCCCTCCAGGCCTGAGGGTACACTCCATTTTCTAGGCTTACATTGAAGATGTGGAAAAAAAGTAGTCACAACGTATTCTGCTA